AAAGGCAGGAGTTTGAAGAGGGTGGGGAAGCAGTCAAGAGCTGAGGCCCAGAGTATGACTCCAGAGACCTCCACCAGCTGCTCTGGTCCCTCTCCAGTCCTGGAGGGGCTGTGTCACTTGGTATGGGGACTTCTTACCCTGGCTACTCACTCAGCCCGAGTAATACAAAGTAAAACAGCCACAGAGGCCCCTCCCAGGTGATCTCGTCTTGGGTGTTGCTCAGGCTGATTGAGACCTGTTCCAGGGTCCCAGATGTCCCCATCCTAAAGATCTCCTTGGAGAGACAGGGCTCCTGTATTCAGGAAGATGTCACCAGGGTCTTCTGAGCTCTGGCACAGTGCTGTAGGGAGCCACGAGCTACGCCCAGCTCTCTAAGGAGGAGGAGGTGGCGTCACCTGCCACGCCTGCCCTGAGATTCCCCAAGGAGGGCAGCTGTCTTCCTTCTCCGGGCACCCCCTGGTAAGGAGGTGCCTGGCCTGGGTGGGCATACAATCCCTCACTTCTGAAACCTGGTGGTCAGACTTCCCCCACTCCACCACCCAGGAGCCAGAACCTGGACCCCATCGGTAACTAACCACTCTTCGGAACAATTTGTGGTAACAGCTGGACCCTTGGGTATAGGGAGAGTCCTGACTTGGGAGCCAGAGGTTTATTCTTGCCTCTACCATTAACCAGTCTAGTTAGGACCTGGAGCAAGCCAGTGTTGATCTGGAGTGGGGAGAACTTGCCTCCAGGTGGCTGGCCAGCATACCAGCAAGGCAGATGGGTGCAGCCCACACCTGGGTCCTAGAGCGTGGCTCTGCAGCTTCCAGCTGTGCCAGCCTATGTGAGATGTAATCTCCCTAACATGGTCTTCTCCATGAAGCAAGGATAATATCACCTTTCTCTGAAGCTGCCTGGAGGGTTAGCACCCAGTGAGAGGCAGCGCCAGGCACGCCAGAGGAGTAACCACTCTTGTTCCCCACTCCCATCTTACAAGAGGTCAGATCTATAGAGCTGGGCCTGGGAAGGGGCAGCGCTGGACTTAGAAACAGCCAGTCCCAAAACTCTAGGGGATGCCGCTTTTCCATATGAACTGACAAGGCCCTCAGTCCTGAGCCGGTCTCACAGGGAAATGGGGTCCTGATGAGGTCAAGCTTGGAGGTCAAGGACAGGCAGGAAACGGGCTGTGTGTGACTACAGCCTGAGCAGCTCTCTCTCCCACATGGCTTCCCAGAGAACTGCTGCCCGGCCCCTCCTTCCTGGGACCGTGGGCAGATTGTTCCAGTGGCTGAATAGGCCCCTGGGCCATTTGCCAAAGTTTCTGCTGTGACTTCCAAGCCTCTGTGTGCATGCGCCCTGCTCTTCACCCCAGGATCTGTCCCATGCCCTGTAAAATGAAGAATTATCTCAGTCCCTACCCCAGGGCTGCAGCCAAGTGGCTTGGTACCCGCTCATGCCTGTTATTAAATATTCAGACTTTCACCTGACATCCAGTCCCAACCAGGCATCCTGTTTCAGGGATGGGCTTATCCAAAAGTCCCTGCAGTATTGACCGTTACCACACAAGTGACTCCATAAACTTCAGTTCCACAGTCTCGCTGGGCTCTGGACCCCATATGCATATGCAGACACTGTGCTGGGTTCTAGTGCAGCTGTCTATTGTAGATCAGTTATCTCTGGGGTCGCGCATATGTGGTCATCTCTAGCACCAGTCCTATTGAGGAATAAAATGTACACAGTCCTTCCAATCGAAGATCGTTTTTATTGGAATATACCTGGGTCTAGATCTAATGCCCATAGTCCTACTTTCTTCTTCCCAATACAGTCCTCTGCAATGTCTTCAAAACCCTTCCAAGCTCTGTCTGTTGCCAAAATGTCAGAGCGCTGTTTGGAATACTTTGAAACTGGTCTCTCCCGAAAATTCCTGAGCTTGAAAGTGTGGCTTGGGTCTCAGGGGAGACCACAAAGGAGGCCTCTGTGCGTGCTAGAAAACAAGAACTTCCTCAGGGACCCTGATCCTCTGACATGCTCAGGATGTCCACAGATGACAGTGATCATGGAATGCAGCAGTAGAGACACAGACGACAAGAGCACAGCCATCAGACGGACTGCCAAGTCTGGGGGTTATCTGGGGGCTTTGGAGGAATCCTGGGTGAAACAAAAGGCTGCAGGAAAACAGGCTCTCAGAAATGAAGATGAAGGGAGAGACAAAGAGAGGGTGAGCGACTCCTGTCTTCACGTTAGCCAAGGGTCACCTAAGTACGAGAGCATAACAGTGCTTCTGAGCACAGGTTTGAGAATTAGGATTCAATTCAAACTGATGTTCCTCTGATTCTAGCTGAGAGCCCTATGTCCAAAGACTGAGCCCCAGATTCTCCGCCCATAAAGTGAGGCTAACAGTAACTGCTTCCTGGTGTAGCTGTAAGGATTAAGCACGATAATCTACAGCACATGCCACATGGAAGACCCCCAGTGGGTGACTGAAGACATTGCCACTGTTGTTGCAGAGTTAGAGCAGGAAAAATTATCTACCCTGTAGGCAGGTACAGGGATTCAGTGACAGGACAGAACCTTTCCCCGGATGCAGGAGACCTTGAATGAAGTTGCAAGGAAAGCTGTGGATACTCTTTTCCTTCTAGAGCAGACCTTGAAGGAACCAGGCTGGGCACTGGGAAGCCCCTCCTGGAGGCAGAGAAAGCCCATGATGACTGAGAAGACCCTGGGCCTGGGTTCAGAGCTTTCTGGGCTAGGGATACACCCAAAGACAAACCCCTGCCTGGGCTGAGGCCTTTCCAGCTCCAGCTGGGATTCCAGGTGCCCTCTGAGAAAGTGGGCAATGGGACCCAGCTTGCCCAGACTGTGCTCCTGCTGAGAGGTGACTCCTGCCTCCTTACCAGGCCAGACCAGGACCCACTCTACCCAGGTGGGAAGTGAGAGATGAAGAGTCCACTGTGTCCAGAGCCGGGTGTGTGGCTTACAAGAGAATGCTGTCCGAGGAAGTCACTGCCTAAAAACCATCATGTCTGGAGTTGACCCACAAAAGGCATCCCCCAACTGTGTGCAACTGTCAGCCTGAATTTTGTCCCAGTTTTAGGCAGTTGTTGGCAAGAGGAGAGGAGGAGATCCAGACATTACGTGTCTATCTCAGGGACAATATAACTTAGCACCCTTCAAATCACCCTTCTATTGCTGCTGGTTAGAACCAAGCCCCAGGAAAGTCTGGAGAGACAGAGAGCAAAGTAATGATGATTGTCTCTGAGTGGTGGCATTACAGGGACTCTTCCTCCCACCTTTACATTTTTCTGCAAACTTTTGTACTATTTAAACAGAGCAAAACTGCATCTTCTGAAAAAGGCTCCAAGTGGGTTTAGCAGCACACTAGAGCACTGGCAGCATGCCGGCAGGCACGCTGGCACAAGGTAAACTGGAAGAGTCAGTGGCATTTGTGTGGGCTCAGGCTAGGGGTGGACAGTGACAGATACTTTGCAACTGCTGGATAAAGAGGAGCTGGTGAGGAGGCAGGGAGGGGTGTATTCAGGAATCTGGTAGGCACAGAGTAACAGGGCCCCAGGAGGACACAGTTGGGCAGGGGTGGGTGGTAGGCGGGGCCTATGAGAACCACTCCCGCCCCAGCCACTGGTGACCTAAGGAGGGGTAATGGCTAGAGCTTGAGATGAAGGCAGGCTCTCAGGACATGATCAGAACAAAAAGAGGAGCAGGATAGAGGGGAAAGCCCCAGAACTGAGTGAGCAGGGATCAGGGTGTCCACACATCCAGCCATTAGCACAGATCCGTGGGAGAGAAAGGGTCCTCGGGGGTCAGCAGTACCAACAGAGGCATCTGACAGGAATTGGTCATCAAATTGAGGGTTACTTGTGCTCTAGCCATCATGAAAGAGAAGCCATCACAGGTCAGCCAAACTTCACAAGGGTCAATAGCAAGATTCAGTGAAGAAGAAAGAGGCAAGTTGTTCCCTGGGAAGGAGAAGTTCAGGATCAGAAGGACTTGGGGGAAGGTGCCAGTCCTGGGCTGGAGCTAGGCACTGGGGCAGTGGTAGGGGGCACCTGGCCTGACGACCTGGGTGAGTAGGTGTCTGTCACCCCTCCTGCCACACTGTCCTTGCCTCCTGGGCAAGCAAGAGCTCTTCTCTCTCTCTCTCTCTCTCTCTCTCTCTCTCTCTCTCTCTCTCTCTCTCTCTCTCTC